ACAAGACTCATATGGCCAGTCCGCATAGCGAATGAGTTCGCCGCCTAGCGAGTGTGCACAACTACAAGACCAGTTCGCCTAGCGAACTAGTTCGCGCTACCTAGCGAGTGCTAAATATTTAAATGTGTGTGCACCTAGTGTGTGTTTTTGTAGAAGACTATAAATATGTTTTTTCCTTTGTATTTTGGGAATCCAACTTTCATTATATCATTTTTCCTTTTTTGGTTCTTAGCTTATGTTCTATTTTGCTCTCTAGATTAGGAGCTTATGCTATTTTCCGGGAGATTTTCCGGCGACTTCGGTTCCTTTCAAGTTTCGAGCTTTTGACTCCGTTTTTCATCGTCTACGCAATGGGAGATTGAGTATTTAGTTTTAAAGCTCTTTACTTCGTTTTTGCTCTGGTTTTACTTATAATGTTCATTAGAGTAAATTGGATTTGATTGATGATGGTGGAAATGCTTGAACTTGATTGCTTGCTTGAGTAGATAGAACCGTTAATTACTTGTTGATCTCGGTTAGACGACTAGGGTTAGCAATCTAATGCTCGTAGCTCGTTTATTCCGTATGTCGATTGATTATCATCCCGTTATGGTTAAGGCATGAGACTCTGGTGATCTAGTTAGCTAATTGCTCGTCATTTGATCTTGCTTTTAGTTAATTGCTCATTTTAAGTGCTCAATTAGTGTTAATCACCCTTCCAATCAATTGCTTAGAATGTTTAGGATTTTATTTTCCCTTTTTGTGATTTGGACGATCATTTAGTAAATAAAGCTCCGAATAGCCTTCCTTCGAGATCGACCCGAGTCGGGTAACTCGGTTATCCCTTGCCCATCATATCTATACTAAACACCCAACAAACCTCCCCTCAAACACAAGACCACATTAGGCCTCCCCTTAACAAAATTCATATGATCCGACCATCTTGTACCGCCGTTATCACCCACGGAACCCGCCGCCTGACCATATTTTTGCCAAGAAGACTTTCGACACAAGACACACGGATCCACCGGCTCCAGTCTCCACGAGAAACATGCCACGTTATCCACATCAAAATTGGGCTACCAACCGTGGTTGATACCCATTGTTAACAACAACAATTTTTGTGTACGCATGTTTAATATGTAGGGATAAGCAAAATCGAGCCGAACCAAGCAATTCGGTGTCATTCGTCTCGTTTTTTCCTAATCAATGTGTTTTGGTTGTACATTAAATACATCCTAATAGTTAGGCTGCCCTCATATAAGAATTCGCATACATAACATATGTATATTTTGAAGTTCACATGTAATGCTCTAAATAATATACAGAAATGTTTGACATCCATAGCATAAATATACATTTTTTTGTTAAAATTGCATGTTTCTCCTTGGTTTTGAAGTTCTAAAGATGCAATTTTCATTCTCTTACAACAAAAAAATACAATTTTGTTTGTGCATGTAGTTTGTTACTATTCTTCTTTGACCTTCCATGTAGTAAAGATGCAATTTTTATCTATACCCAAAAAAAATAAATAAAAAAAA